AGCCCGATAGCGACCTCTCGAACTACGCGACGTTCAAGATCGAGGGAGACCTTCCGAAGACGCTCGGGGTGTTGAATCAGATAGCAGACAGGAAGCTCGTGTCCTTGGAGCTCAGGTTCATCGAGAAGTTTGGCGACCTCGTGAGCGCCTGCACGAAGGCTTACGACGCGCGCCGGAAGCTGAATACGCGCCAGGAGCGCAGGATGTCCGAGTCCAGCGTAAAAGAGATGACCACCGTGACCATGCGCCTGAAGGAGCTCGACGCTTTCATGGAGTCCGTCGCCAAGAAGGGCCTGACGTTGTTCCCCGCACCCGTTCCCCAAGATGGAATGGAGGCGTTCGTCAAGCGGCCGATGTCGATTGGCGCAGTTCTCAACATGGGCCCATTCGTCGCCACCGTTGCAGGCTTTAAGGAGTTCTTGGCTGATGCTACGCAGGCTTGGTTGAAGGACTGCCTGGATATGTCTAACCACGTGAAGAGCTACGTCTTCGCGATGACCGATCAGCAGAAGGACTCGATTCTCAGCGCCGACCTCCAGGGAACGCTCGACTCCCTCGTGCAGCCGTCCCAGATCCAGCGCTGCGCCAAGGCGGCCTCTCCTTTGTCGGTGTGGCGCAATTGGTTGAAGAACCTCGGCGTGTTGACTCCTGGGGACTTCAGGGACGTGGGGCTCACGATCGATTCGTTGTCGCAGTGCTCTCAGTTCGGGGCCGCCGCGCGCAAGATCTATATCGAGCTGCCTAGCGTCCCCAACAGGGTGATGCGCAAGAGGGCGGCCGAGGCCTTCAAGAAGGAGAATAAAGTCGCGGTCGGCTCAGACCTCTCGAGGCGCTTGCAGGCGCTCATTGAGGGCGAGCCGGCGGCTGCCCAGCAGCCGCCCGAGGCCGCGACGGAGCCCGCCACGGCTGCCTAGCTCAGTGCGGGGGAGGAGGAGGACAAGGAGTAGGGAGGAGGAGTAGGGGTGATGAAGGGGGGGAGGCGAGGGGAAAGGGGGGGATGAGGAGGGCGAGGAGGATGAGGATGATGATGACGAGGAGTAGGAGTGAGGATGGAGTAGGGGGGAAGGATGACGAGGACGATGAGGATGACGATGACTAGGATGATGAGGATGACGAGGAGTAGGAGTCAGGATGAGGATGAGGATGACGAGGAGGATGATGATGAGGATGAAGTAGGAGTAGGGTGAGGATGAGGAGGACGGAGAGGGGAAAAGGGGATGGGCTAGGGTTGCTGGCCAGCTCGCGCGCCCTGGCGCGCTCGGCGCTAGGGCTGCTGGCCAGGCCGATGCAAATGGGGCTGCGTCGGAAAAGGCCGAGGTTCGAGGATCGAGGTTCGAGGATCGAGGAGGTTCGAGGATCGAGGTTTCCAGGATCCGAGCCTCCAGGGTTGATTTTTTCGGGCGCGTTTCTGAGCCTTCCTGGTCTTCAGGGCCGCCTTCTGGGCCTCCAGGGGCGCCCCGGGGAACGTCGGGGGGTCGTCGTCGTCGGTCGTCGGTCGTCGGTCGTCGTCGTCGTCGAGGTTCGAGGATCGAAGCTTTTGAGGATCCGAATTGGCGGATCGGATTTTCGGTCCCGTTTCTATGCTTTCCTAGGCTTCCAGGGGCGCCTCCTGGGCCTCCTGGGGGGCCCGAGGAGGGGTCGGGGGGTCGTCGTCGTCGTCGTCGTCGTCGGTCGTCGGTCGACGTCGTCGTCGTCGAGGATCGAGGTTCGAGGATCGAGGGTCGAGGTTTTTTGAGGACCCGAATTGGATGATCGGGTTTTCGGGCGCGTTTCTGAGCTTTGCTGGGCCTCCGGAGGCGCATCCTGGGCCTCCGGGGGCGCCCCGGGAGATGTCATGGGGATCGTCGTCATCAGGCGGCGAGTTTGGGCATTGCCAAGTGTGGTTTCACGATGTATATCATTACTTGTTCGGTGATCTATATAATACATTATGTTCTATTATTATGTATACGATCGTGTTATTTGTATATATTATACCTATACTGTGCGTAAAGTATATTATATTGTATATATGTATATATTGTTGTATATGTATTATTATATGTTTATGTATTATATTATTATATTAATCTTTGTTATGATATTATTATTCATGTATTCGGACGTGTTTTTCATGTTTCTTTGCATTTCTTGATCGCTCTTGAAATTCAAGCATTGCAACAGGTCCATCCGGGACTGTCAAGCAAAGCGTGGCAGGCGTGGCACTTCCTCGACACCAGAGGGGGTGCGCTGGGGGTGGGGGCCCTATGCGTTTCGGGCTCGCAATGCGTGGCCGGCGTGGCACTTCCTCGACACCAGAGGGGGTGCGCTGGGGGTGGGGGCCCTATGCGTTTCGGGCTCGCAATGCGTGGCAGGCGTGGCACTTCCTCGACACCAGAGGGGGTGCGCTAGGGGTGGGAGCTAGTATCTTGTCAAGAACTGTAAACACCTTGGCTCCAGCCGGCTCGACGCGCGTAAATCAGTATGTGGGGTTCCTCGGTAGCGTAATTGTCCAGGTCTGATGTAGTTTTCCGAACGATTCCGAATTCTCAGGGCGCACCAGTTATGTTGATCTTCGGTGCTGAAGTCCCAGGAATGGTGTTCTGGCACGATTCAGGGTCATCAAGACGCAGCAGTCAGGTTGACTCGTGGCGTCGAAGCCTTAAGAATTGTCTTTTAGCATTTCACACGGTTGTCTCCCAACGGAGGACGTCCCTCAGTGGAATTGAATATTTGTAGGGGGCCTGAGAAAAGGCAGTTTGGAAGGAAGGTGTAAGTATCCCATCATCGTTGATGAGTCTTGGGGTTACACGAGTCTTCTTCCTCCTCCTCCTCCTCCTCCTCCTCCTCCTCCTCCTCCTCCTCCTCCTCCTCCTCCTCCTCCTCCCATTGGGGCCCGCCTCGGGGCCAGCGGGGGTGACTCCCTCCAGCTGAGGGCCCTCCAGCAGGTTTTTTTTGGATTCCGCGGGTTATTGCCCTCGCAGGGACTCTTGAATGGCCCCTTTTGAGGCCCTCCTGTTTTGTTTTCCTCTGACCACTCTTGGAGTCCCCGGCGTTTCTTGGTCTTGGTCCTCCTCCTCCTCCTCCTCCTCCTCCTCCCCCTCCCCCTCCCCCTCCCCCTCGACTCGACTCGTCTCTGATGACAGACGGACGCTGCCACATCCCAGCCCCAGTGGCCTTTGTCACTGGGGCGTCAGATGAAACCAGGTAGCTGTAATAAGTTGGAGGAATCACCCGGGGAGATCTTCGAGGGGGATGGTTAGCTGGAGGTCTGTCTTCCTCCTCATCCTCTGCCCTCCTTCTCCTTCTCCTCCTCCCCCTCCTCTTCCTCCTCCTCCTCCTCCTCCTCCTCTTCCTCCCATGATGGGGATGGGATAAGGACGACGGACGAGGCGAAGGGATGAGGAAAGAGGGGGGGAAGTCGCCCCCCCTCTGCCTCCCCCTCGTCCTGGTCGTCGTCCTGATTCCCCCGCGCACTCCTACAGTGTCCGATTCGTCCTCGTGATCCGCCGCCGCCTCCTTCTCCTCCCTCCTCGTCCTCTGAGCCAGCGAGCAGCCAGCCCTGGTGCCGTGCACCGTGTACCACATGGTGCGTGGACCGCTCGGGCTCACTGACCCGTGCCCGCGGTGGATTGGGATCCAGATCCCAGGGAGGACTTCCGTCGTTGGGTTCTGCAGGCCTGCCCCGTGTGGCGGCCAGCGGCCGCGTCTCCCTCGGGCGGAGTGCAGTTCCTCACCTGCCGTTCGCATTCTCCTCTTCGTGCCTTCGTTCGCACCTGTCCCCGGCGCCATGCTTGGACACGGGCGAATTCCCGTTCGACAAAAAGCTCCAGGCAAGTTCCCATTCTACCGTCGAGGCTGATTCGTGGGTCGACCCTGCCACATCGAGGGTACCCTTGTGCCCTGAGCCTCGCGACCCATGCCTTCTTACATTCCTGTGGCAGTGTGGCCCTCGGAAGGGTCCTGTGTCCTCTCGCGTGTCCTCTCCAGTCAACCCCGACCGTAGGTGGAAGCATGCGCCCCTTGCGAGGCCCACAGCCGTGCCTGGCCTTCGTTCGCCCCGCCCCGCCCCCCCCCCTTTTCCCCCGTTCCCGTGTCTCCCCGCCCCCTGCCGCACCCCGGTTCTGCCCCGCGTCTTCCCTTTCAGCGGCACCGTCACGGATATTCACCAACGGATATTTTGGAGATTTGCCGAAACCTTCTTGAGGAAGGTTTCAGGAAGGTTCTTGAGGGGATCTCTCCAACAAATTGCCACTTTTTGAGCCTCTGTTTGGCATTGCAGCGTTGCCCACATCGGGGAGGGTTGGGTTCGCCGGGTCACTGGCCACAGTGCCCGTTAGTGGGGTAACCGCGAGAGGGGCGTCGGCCCTTCCCCTCCCGCCGCCCAGCCCCGTCTCCCCCGAGCTCCTGTGGGGCGAGGCCCTCCCCCCAGGGACAGGGCGGCGCCAGGGAGGAGGAGGAGGAGCAGGAGGAGGAGGAGGAGGAGCAGGAGGAGGAGGAGGAGGAGGAGGAGGGAGGAGGAGGAGGAGGAGGAGGAGGAGGAGGAGAAGGAGGAGGGAGGAGGAGGAGGCGGAGGCGGAGGCGGAGGAGGGAGGAGGAGGAGGAGGAGGCGGAGGAGGAGGGACGGGGAAGGGGGGCCAGGCAGCGCCCGCGATGGCCAGGCACTTGCCAGAGGAGGGCCTGGGGACGGTATGCAGTGCTGGGGAGGCTTGGGAAGGGCCAGGGAGGGCCAGGGAGGCTCCACCCTCCCGCCACCAGCACCCACCACCACCTGCTCCTGCTCCTGCTCCTGCTGCTCCTGCTGCTGCTCCTGCTGCTGCTCCTGCTGCTGCTGCTGCTGCTGCTGCTGCTGCTGCTGCTGCTGCTGCTGCTGCTGCTGCTGCTGCTGCTGCTGCTTCCTGTCCCCCCCCCCCTCCCACCAGCAGCACCCACCGCTCCCACCCCCTCTCCCCCGAGTGGCCGGGGCGAGCCGCGCAGGCACGTTGTACAGAGAGGGCGCCTTCGGTGGGGCTGCCGCGACGATGGTCCCCGTCCTGGAGGCCGCCAAGCAGGCGGGCGCGCGAGGGTGGGCTTTCAGGGGGGGGAGGACGAGGAGTGCGACGAGGACGAGGAAGACAACCTGCCAGAGGATAATGAGGAGAAGAGAATAATGAGAGGAGGAGGAGGAGGAGGAGGAGGAGGAGGAGGAGGAGGAGGAGGAGGAGGAGGAGGAGGAGGAGTGGTGTGGAGTGGAGCAACCCAAGAGGCGGACCGTGTCAGGGCGCTATGGGCCAACCGTGAGAGCAGGAGTCGGCTCGAGCACTCATTGGCTCAAGAACCACCCCAGCGCCCCATCACGGCTGGAGTCCGCGCGGGCTCGTCCAGACTGTGGCTGGTGGCGGCGAGGCTTACCGCGGAGACACGCAAAACGAGGGCTGCAGGCGTCTAGAGCCGATGCGCGCGACCAGTGCGCGAGGCGGCAACAGCAAACATAACGCAGCGCAGCTAAAAGCGTTCTAACGATGTCGAGGCTTCACGTAACGACACACCGCTCTCGGTTGTGCCACCCCGACAAGCCACTCGAGGGGCACCACTCCCTCGGGGACAATCCGCCCCCACGCACGCCACGGCGGGGGACCGTGACCGTGGGAGGAATGGGCGGGGACCTCCAATGAGCCCCCCCCGCACAGGGGACCCGCGACACCGCCCGAACCCTGGCGGAGTAGCAGGTGGGCCACCGCAAGGGTGTCGCAGCAAAACGTGGCATAAACCCATAACCCAGGGACGGGAACACGGAAGGAATTGCCGCGCATTGGGACCCGGACTATCCCCGCCCGCCGCACTGGCGAGTCGGGAACAGCCCCGAGGCCCCAGGCACGACGCTTCCCCCGTGGCGCAGGCTGGGACGGCCTACGACTACCGTTTTTTTATCTCCCCTAGGGTACCGAAGGAGGAGGAGGAGGAGGAGGAGGAGGAGGAGGAGGAGGAGGAAGAGGAGGAGGGCGAGAAGAGGAGATCGGAGAAGGAGGAGACGAGGAGGGGGAGAAGGAGCAGGAGGAGGAACCTTCGCACTAGCCTCATCGTCTTCGTCGGTAATGCAAACCCTCAAACTCAATGTTAATCGTAACGGGTACCTGTCAGCGACTTCCCTGTCCGTTGCTTATCATATCACCTATGTCTTCTCATTCCACTCCTGTAGCTCCTCCAGCCGTTCCTCTTCCACCTCTCCGATCCCTCCGAAGCATCAATTGTTGTTCGTCGTTCGGGTGCCTTCAGCCCAGCCCATACTTCTTGTAGCACTTGGTCGGGCTCCTGGTGCTGGTCTGCTCGGCTTCCTCGCTGTAATGCACATGCCCGAAGGGGGGGGACTGGCATTTTGCAAACACGCCAGCGTGACCGCGGCATGTGTGGAGCAAGCAGGCGGGCATCAGAAAAGTGCAAAGCGCGTGTACACAAAATTCGGCGGCGAGCCCAGGGGGGAGTGCAGGAGGGAGCGGGCCTTCTCAGAAGGCTCGAGAGGCCTCGGGCCTTCTGAGAAGTTGTCCAAGCCTCACCCGTAGACGCAGAACATGCTTCAGAAGGCGCGAGGGACTCTGAGAAGCTTGGCCGCCACTGAGAAGGCCCGCCCCTTATCTAACTTTCCCCCCTCGGCTTGCCGCCGATGATGTCGGGCATGGGTTGGGCAAGAAAAAACGTCAGTGCAGGTTTGCATGAAGTCTGGCGTGTCCCTCTACAGGAGGAACGTTCCCAAATAGGCAACACACATAGTCTGGGGACGATGTTTGTAGCAGTTTTGACGTTTTTTTCCTCCCGAATCCCTGTTGGAGGACATGCCCGACCGAACGCCTGCATGCACGCGGGAGGCTGCCGGCAGGGGGCCCAGCCCGGGTTTGCCGGGACTCGGGTTCGCCACCGTTTTTTGACGACCGCGCCTCGGATTTTGACGAGGAGGAGTTTCGTGGGATGTCTGCAGCGGGAGGCCTCGTCAAAATGCAGGCTCGGCCTCGTCATTTTTTTGACGACCTCGTCGGGGATTTCCGAGTCCCCCGTACCCGGGTCTTACGTCTCCCCGATGCACTCGCGCGGTGCGGTCGTGGCCGACTTGGAAGGCAGGAGGAGGGAGCTGGAGCGGCTCCAGGATGGCTCTGTGCCTGGCGCGGCCGCGGTCACATTGGTCAAGCAGCACGGGCACCGAAAGGAGACGTAGGATACAAGTTGGCGGCGCAATTGCCTGTTTGTGCACCTTCTTTCTATATATATATATATATATATATGCTGGTATGTTGGACGTTATATTGCATACTTGATGTTGTGTGTATCTTCTGCACTGTTTTTTATTTTTGAGTAAACGGCCGACCCTACATTCGATTGCTAAGGCCCACTATGTACTTTTTTTTCAATGCAACATTTTCTTTGGGCGTTGAACGAGAGGCGGAGAATGCAACTTCGTGTATTTTTACGAGGAGCATTTGGAAAGACATGCATTGCCTCGTCTTTCCAGGCCGATCTTGCCGCCCGCTTGTCCGAGTGGCCTGCACCCTTAGCAGAATGCAAGTCGTGGCCCAAGCGCCTGAGGGGGGGGGGCTGGGCGAGATGAGATGCGGGCGACTGCGCTGGCAGCGCTTGCGATCGCGGCCTGGCTTGCCCAGCCCAGGTGCTGGGCCGCGCTGCCGCCGCGCCGCGGCCAGGTGCGGCGGCGCGCCGCCAGAGGCTCCGCGGCAGCGGCCGCTGAGGCCTTCGATGTGGTGGACGACTTCGCCGGCGACGGCAAGGCAAGGGCGCCCTCGAGGGCGCGAAGATATTCGCGCTTCGCGGTTCGGCTCCGATTCCTCCTCATCCTCCTCTTCTCCCTTGGGAGGCGGCGCGAGAGCGCGAACTTATTCGCACTTCGCGCTTCGCGCAGCGCGAAGCGCGAAGTTGGGAGCCCTTGGCAAGGCCTACGCCGTGCACCGGGGGGCCGTGAGCCTGGCGTTGCCCGAGGGGCCTCCGGTGCGCCACGACGTCGACACCTTCTCCCCGGGCTTTGTTGTAGACCGCGTGCTGATCGAAGACGCCTGCGGCGAATCACCGCCGCCCCCTTTGGGCGTCCGAGTTATCCGGGGTAACTCGGGTCCGGGGTAACTCGGGTTTGGGTTCCCGAAAAACGAACCCGAGTTATCCCTGACCCGAGTTACCCCTGATGATTCGGGGCTCTGGACGCCCGAGTTATCCGGGGTAACTCGGGTCCGGGGTAACTCGGGTTCGGGTTCCCGAAAAACGAACCCGAGTTATCCCTGACCCGAGTTACCCCTGATGATTCGGGGCTATGACCCCTGCCCTGCCGGATCCGCCTATGCGGCCAAACATTCGGGGAAAGTTTTGCAGCGCTATGAGACCCCCAGAAGCCTGGCACGCCAGGCACCTCTTTGGTGGCAAGCCACAGGGGGCGCCGGACCCATGAGGCGTGCCAGCAGCTCGTCGACCTGGCCGAGGGCGCAGGCTTCTCGGAGCGATGGAGCCAGTCCCTCGGGGTGTGCACCCTCTTCGTGGACGAAGCCTTCGAGCGGGGCCTCTTCGAGCGCCTGAGGCCACTCCTCCCCAACCACATGGGCGGCACGCCCATCGGCATCAACCGCCGGTGGGCCGTTATCAAGTATGGGCCAGGGCAGTACATGAACGCCCACGTCGACGGCCACGTACCCGGGACGGCCCGGGAGGGCGACAGCCTCGTCTACGACCGAGGCACGCGCTCCTACATGACCGCGCTGTTCTGGCTGAGCGACGACGTGCAGGGCGGGGAGACCGTCTTCACCTTCCCGCAGGGCGGCATCTGGGTGAAGATCCCCCCGCGGACGGGCGCCGCCCTCCTCTTCAACCACGGTCAGAACGCGGTCAGCAACCCTCTTCACTACGGCGGCAATGTGGACGCTGGCGTGAAGTACCTCGTGCGGTCGGACGTCATTTACGGCCACCAGTGACGCTGCCAAGGGCCGTTCAGGACATCTCTGGAGACCGACCCTGCAACAAATGATTAGAGGAATACATGTTGTTTCTCTGGAGACGCATGTGGGTGTTCAGAGCCCAGTTGTTAGCACAGCGGTAAGTACTGCATTCCAATACGAATTCCTACGCATAGATCGATGCATTAGTTAACTTAGTATGTCAGCATCCAATCGGCCCGCTTTCGGTCAGCATCGAAGCAGTCACTTTTAATGCGCAACATTCAGGATCGTTGGCAGCATGTTCGCGCCTTGTTCGCCACATTCATGAGAGAAGCTCCATTGAGCATCTCGCCAACAGCTTTTTCATGTGCTAAGGATTTTGATTCAGGGAAAGTCGGCTTGCAGTCGATTCGTAGTTGTATTTCCAGGGCAGACACCATCAACCCAGCAGCCACACGTCATTCAGCATCACAGCCTCGAACCTTGAGTGAGTTAAGGTAGATCGCAAAGTCCTTACTGGCCATGTACATGCCAGCACCAAGCAGGTGACCCATACGAGCGTTGAACTTAACGCCTCCGAGAAGCATCTGTCATACTACATGGCCAATGACTTGAGCTGAATTCACATGCAAGGCAAGACGACGAAACATTTGCCCAAAGCCTACGACATGGATGGATTACTTCAGGAGGTCAAAAAACATATATATATATATATATGTATATATAGGTATGCATATGTGTATTTATATTCCTGACATACATATTTGTGTAGTTGTACAAAGATATACATGGACATCGAACTTGCGTCATATAGGATATTTATCTGATATGGCGGGGTGCCGGGGGCCTGGTCCTGGACCACCACACCCTCCCGAATTTCCCTCCCCCTTTCCGGCACCGGACCCCCTCCCGGGGGCCTCTTGGCCCCCCCCTTGGCAGCTCAAGACATTTCCGAAGGCGACCAACAAGACCGAAGGCGCCAGAGAATTATTTCAGAGAGGGCAAGGGGCCCCGAAGACGCCCAAAGAAGGCTCCAAGATGCTCCCCGACAGGGCCCAAAAAGGTCGAAATTCGCTCGTTCCATGTTTGGAAACATGCATGTTTATTATATTCGCTCTCGAGGTAGGCTCACAAGATCGCCCCAAGACAGCCCAGGAGGCCCCCAAGACGGCCCGGGACCGTAAGAAGAGAGCCACAAGACGGGCCAAGTGGCGCCCAAGACAGCCCAAGAGGGCCCCGAGAAAGTGCCAAGAGGGAGAATGCCAACTGACATTTCGAGCCTTCCCCCGATGCCACTGTCTTGGGATCATATTGAGGCCATCTTGGCGTCATCTTGGGCGTTACTGGGCTGTTTGACCGTCTTGGGCCCTTGTTGCGGCAATATTGGGGCCGTCTCGAAATTACCTTGTGACGTACCCAACCCATTTGCATTCAGTGACAAGTGGGATTGGCCCACATTAGTATGGCTGTTGACAGCACAGGAACCGTCATGTGTTGTGGAAGCTACACGGAATGTGCGCGCGTTGCACGAGTCGCGCGACAGCACCAGAAGGACGAAGACTAAGACCCCAGGCTCGAAGAGGAACTGGGAGTCAGAGAGAAGGGCAGGAGAAGGACGGAAGAGGAGACGGTGGAAGGAGGAAGAGGACAACAACGAAAAAACAGTATGAGGAATGAGGGTGGCGATCATTTGCCAGTGGCACGGTGGAGAAACAGCGCGGCCCGCGCCATGTCGTTGTGTCACTTGATCTGAGTAGGACGTCACCCCGTTGCACCTCCCAGAAGCACACGAAAGCGGCGACAGTTTCGCAGTTCGCAGCCCCCAGCGACAACGAGATCTCGCCTAATCTGAAGAGGACGTCGCTCCGCTGGACCTCCCCAGAGCCCTGGAAAGTGGCAGCAGTCTCGCAATGCGCACCCAGGAGCACACGCAAGTGGCGGCAGTTTCGCAGTTCGCACCCCCCAGCGACGGCGAGATTTCATAATATACTTGGATAGGTCGTCACTGCCGTGGACCTCCCAGGAGCCCACGAGAGTGGCGGCAGCTTTTTGCAGCTCGCACCCCCCAGCGGCGGCGAGGTCTCACCCTATCTGCAAACGACGTCACTTTGCTTGGATTGCCAGGAGCACGCGGAAGTGGCGACGGTCTCGCAGTTCGCAGCCCCCAGCGACGGCGAGGCCTCGCCTGATCTGAACAGGACGTCGCTCCGCTGGACCTCCTAGAAGCACACGAAAGCGGCGACGGTCTCGCAGATCGCAGCCCCCAGCGACGGCGAGGTCTCGCCTGATCTGAATAGGACGTTGCTCCGCTGGACCTCCCAGAAGCACACGAAAGCGGCGACGGTCCGGCAGTTGGCAGCTCCCAGCGACGGCGAGGTTTCGCCTGATCTGAAGAGGACGCCATTCCGCTGGACCTCCCAGAAGCACACGAAAGCGGGGATGATGTTGCAGCTCGCAGCTTCCAGCGACGCAGCAAGCACCTGATCTGAGTAGGACGTTGCTCCGCTGGATCTCCAAGGAGCCCATGAACGTGGCGACCGTTTCGCAGTTCGCAGCCCCCAGCGGCGGCGAGGTCTCATCTGATCTGACTGGGACCTGCACGCCGCTTGACTTCCGGGGCCCACAAAAGTGGCGACGGTTTCGCAGTGCGCAATTCGCACCCAGGAACACGAAAGCGGCGACAGACTCGCAGCTCACAACCCCCAGCGACGGCGAGGCCTCATTTGATCTGAATAGGACGTCACTGCGCTGCGCCTCCCAGGAGCCCATGAAAGTGGCGGCAGCTTGGCAATTCGCAGCCCCCAGCGGCGGCGTAGTCTCGTCCGATCTGAATAGTCCGCTGGCCCTCCCAGGAACCCGCAAAAGTGGTGACGGTTTCGTAGTTCGCACCCTGGAGCATACGAAAGTGGCGACAGTTTCGCAGTTCGCCCTCCCTGCGACGGCGAGGCATCATCTTCATCTGGATAGGACGTCGCTCCGCTCGACCCCGGAGCTCACGAAAGTGGCGACGGTTTCGCAGTTCACAGCCCCCAGCGACGGCGGGGTTTCACCTGATCCCAATAGGACGTCACTCCGCTGGACCTCCAAGGAGCCCACGAAGGTGGCGACCGTTGCGAAGTTCGCAGCCCCCTAGGGAGGACGGCGAGGTAAGAGGCAGGCTTGACGGCAAGTACAAGCTAGGTGGAAGGCAAGAGAGGCAGCCCTGCCCTCTTCGGTTCCTTTGTTGGTGCGTTAACTAAACGGCCTGGCTTGTCGGGTTGGTTGTTATGGGGGTGGATGTGTTGCCCTCTATTCATTTCTGTTCATCTTGCCCTCCTCCCCTCCTCCCTTCCATCTTCCTCCTCCTCAGCTCGCCTTAAAGTGTCCAGGTGCACGACTCGCTGCGAGACAGCTGCCCCGGCCTGGACGAGGTCATCCCGTTGACGCATCAGGCTTCCTGCGGCCCTGGCGGCGTCCGACAGCAGATGCGTGTCTGTAAGACTTGCAGCACGGAAGAGGGGCAGTGAAGGAGGGCCACAGGGCTAGGTCCACTCATCCTCCTCGCCTCTGGTTTCTGTCGTTTTCTAGAGGGCCCAGAGCTCGAGACTTGGTCAGGAGGGACCCCGGGAGGGGTCTGGGGACAGATTTAGAACGGATTTGGGACGAAACCGTGTTGGGTCGATTGTGGGAGCGCGAACATGAAGATACGTACTCGCGCTTGGACCTAGGCCCGGAAGGGTTCAATGCGAAGAAGGTAGAGAGGTGGGAGAGTTAAGGAGAAGTGGAGGAGGGAAGGGTGGAGGAGGGATGACGTATTTAAAATCCTTCCTTCGTCGTCGCCTCTTGAGGCGAGACTTGTTGCTGGCATGGGAACTCTGACTCTTCGATGCGGCACGCAAGCCCCTCAGGGTTCAAGCTCGCAAGAGAATGAGCTATCGTAGTTGGTCTGAAGCATGCGAGGCTCCGCCGTCATTGCATCACCCACCGATGGGCAGGGCCAGCGAGGGGGGCAGAACGACTGCGGACGAGGGCCGACATCAGTTAATCACGGTCGGACCGAAGTGTAAGACCGAGGTCGGTTTCGGGGAGGGTACCCCAGTGCTCTTTGTGTTTCTCGGATGTCATTTTACATCTCGGGGGAGGGCACCCTCGAGTGATCTTACTGTTTGGGGTGTTGTGGCTGGTGGAGGGTCCCATGTGCTTGAAGGATGTGATTCTTCCCTATGTCCGTCCGCATGACCCACTTTGAAAAGGATTCGCTGTCTGCGTCGCCGCCGAAGTGGCCCATGTTGGACGATTGGCGCCGGCCCGACGGCGGCCGCTGCCGGATTGGGACGGTGTTCGCGCAGTTTTTGCTGCAGGGCCTCGCCCCGCTCTTCCTGTGCTGCCCTCGGGCGTGCCAATCAGCCACGCGCAGAGAAGGGCGGGGGGGGGAGGGGGAAGGGCTTCTTAGAGGCACCCCTGCGTCTCAGAAGGCGCGGGCCCTCTCTGTGGATGTAGAGTTGGCGCCGTCTGAGAAGCAGCCGCCTCATTTCTGAGAGGCCCTCCCCCCATCCCTCCACCCCCTTGTGCGCGCCGCCAAGTTCGCGCAGTTTTTGTTGCATGGCCTCGCCTTATAATGCTCCAACCTACTTTAGCCTTGATCACCAGGAAGAATTCCGAGCGCCCAAACAAGCACCGAAACTCGAGGGTTTTCACATGTCAGGCCCTGGGCGACACTCGCCCGACACTGTTTCGACACTCGTTTGACACTTTTCCGGGTGCTCGAAATTATTTCTGGGATGCGGTCCTCCAGAAGGACGGGAACAACGTAAGCCTCGCCCCGCTCTTCCTGTGCTACCTTCGGGCGTGCCAAGCGGAGCCGCCCTGGTCTCCGCATGATTCGGCGGCGAGCGAGGGGGGGGGGAAGATGAGAAGGAGAAGGCGCCTGCTCGGAAGGCGGCGGGGCTTCTCAGAAGCCCTCGGCCTTCTGAGAAGTTGCCTGTGTTTTCGGGAGAGGAAGTTTCGTGAGGAGGAGGAGGAGGAGGAGGAGGAGGTCGCTGAAGGGGATGGGAGGAGGAGGTCGCTGACGGGGAAGGTTCGGGAAAGTTCGGGGGAAGGCGGCGGGCTTCTCAGAAGCCCTCGGCCTTCTGAGACGTTGCCTGTGCTTTCGGGGCAGGCGTAGGAGACTTCGCAGAAGGCCGGGGGGACTTCCGAGCCTCTGAGAAGGCCCGCCCCTCCTTACTTTCCCCCCCGGGCTCGCCGCCGATTTCGGGCGTGCCAGGAGGAGCCGCCCTGGTCCGCCATATGGAGGGAGGGGGGGAGGGGCAGCACGAAGACGGGGATGGGAGGAGAGGAAGTTTCGGGAGGAGGAGGAGGAGGAGGAGGAGGAGGTCGTTGAAGGGGATGGGAGGAGGAGGTCGCTGACGGGGAACGTTCGGGAGGAGGAGGAGGAGGAGGAGGAGGAGGAGGAGGACGGGGATGGGAGGAATGGAAGGTTCGGCTTCAAGTCAGCAGTGCGGGAATGTTCTCTCGTGGCCGCGGGCAGCCGCTGAGCAGCGCCTCTCCCCTTGGGTGTGGCCGATGCGATGGAGCTCCCCCCGAGAGAGCCCGGTCGACGGGCAGAGCCGAGCGCGGAGGGCTCGCCGGACTGACCTTCCGCCCGTCGGAGGCCCGAAGGCCTCGGACTGTGCGGCGGCGAAAGCTGAGCCCTACACTCCAGGCGATGCTTAAGAAAACCCAAGTTTTCGGCCAGAGTCTCGATTATTCTTGATGCTCCCATGTAAATCCTAACATTTGAATAGACACTCTGGGTTTGACTTCAAACTCTGAGACTATGAATTTCTTAACCCATGATTTCTAACGCATTTCGCAGGGTGTACAGTCGGCCTTGATTACTCCAGATTTCGTAATAAAAGGGAGGGGGTCTGGACCCTCCAAGACAAGCCATTTCAGACCTCCCCCGCGGGAGAACCCTCCAAAACATCGTCCCCAGACCCCCCCAAGCCCTCCAAGATAGCCTGGAAGAGACCCCCCCCCCCGAAATGAGACCCCCTTCCCTTTATTACGAAATCTGGAGTAGTAGGTCGACCCTGCTAAGTCAAGGGTAGCCTTGAGTCCTGTCTTGAAAGAGGCATGCCTTTTGCATTCCCAGGGCAACGTGTCCCTCGGAAGGGTCTTGTGTCCTCTCGCGCGTCCTCTCCAATCAAGTCCGACTGTACCCTCGCCAGTCAACGATTCAGGCAGCTCGATGGGCGGCGGGGGTTGGGGTTCGGAATTCGTCGAGCACGTGGCGAAAGTCGAACCCTACCCCCACCTCCCGTCGATCCGGAAGGGGTCGCCACTTCATAGTTGCTCCACATCCTTCAGCTCGACCTGGCCCGGCTGCCAGGGTCGTCCGCGGGAGCGCGCAGGTAGCCGCAGCCCGCACCTCGCGGTTCCGGGCCGGAGAGCTGCCCTTCTCTTGGGGGGGGGGGGTCGCTGCTCCCCAGGACGTGTGGTAGCCCAATGTGTGCTTACAGTGGGTTCGCGCGGCGTTGGCGCGCCGGCGACGCCAGCGAAGGCGTTCAAGGTTGAATTCTGCGACCCGGAAGCACCGAGATACGCGGTGACGCCACTGGACCCGCAGAATTCAATTTTGAACGATCGGGGCCGCGATCGATTCAAAAACGGGGCCGCGAAGCCCGCGATCGATCGGGACCGCGATCGATCGGGTTGAATGGTCGACGCAGTGTCAAAAACCTTTGCGCGTGCCGACGCCGCGCGAACCTACCGTACCCCGTTCAGCTCCACCAGGGAGAGCTGTCCTACTCTTCGGGGGGGAGGGTCGCTGCTCCCCAGGACGTGTGGTAGCCCAGTGTGTGCTTACGGTAGGTTCGCGTCGTGTCGACCGTCGGCGACCCCAGCGCGGGCGTTCAAGGTTGAACGCCGCCGGCGACCCAGAATCGATCGATGTTGAACGATCGGACGTTGCGGCAGCGGCCGATCGTTCAAGGTTGAACGATCCCTGCGGTGTCAAAAACCAACGCCGGGGTCGGCACGACACGAACCTTCCGTACCCCCGTTCAGCTCCACCGGTGGATTGTTCAAGCACCTGCGTCGAATGGAACGGTCTCGGTGCGCAAACACGCGTACACCTTAGGCGATGTTTAAGAAAACTTAAATTTTCGGCCAGGGTCTCGATTATCCTTAATGTTTCAATGTAAATCCTAAGATTCGAATGGGAATGTTGGGTTTTTATTCAAGTTCTGAGACTGTGAATTTCTTAACCCATGATTTCTTAAGCATTTCGCAGGGTGTAGGCGCTGAAACACGTTCTGGGGATCATCGAGGGGGAGGCGGCGCGAGGGGCGCGAAAGGATCGGGGGCGCTCCAGCGATTCGCGAGTCGGCGTGGCCGCGCGGTTGCGGAGCCGGGTCGCTCTCCGAGGACGTCTCGGGCGGCTGGCGCCCTTGGGGGCCCAAGACCTTGCGGCCTGGCATCGCTCGGACGTGTGCGTTTTTTCCTCTGCGAGGGCCATCGAGGAGCATCCTTGATCATTTGCCGAAAAAACCGCGCACGGAACCGAAAAAAACACAGGGAATGGACGTCCGAGCGATGGCCAGGCGGCGACGGGCCGTGCGGTGGCGTCCCTGAAGACTTCGAGGTCACGCGCAGGGCCGGTCACCGCACCGCTTCGGGACCCCCAGCTGACACCCACTTCGATGGTTTCCAAGGGCACTTCAGCTCGGATGCGGCCACCAATCGGGCGAAGAGAGCTATGCACATACACCGATCCTGGCAAGGCCCATCCTTGACCCAGGATCGGTGCATATGCCTTCCTGGCCAAGGTAGGAGGGCGTATGCACCGATCCTGGGCTCAGGATGGGCCTGGCCAGAATCGGTGTCTGTGTACAGTTCTTTTTCCTCTAACCGATTCGATCCATCCGGTTCGATGGCGATGTTGCCAACTCCGAGCCCACTTCGAATCTCCGACGGTCCGGAGCGGCCCGGCTGGTTGCACGACGTAATTGTGCACCGGGGCGCGGCCGAACCGATCCGACGTCGATTCCGTGCCGATGCAGGCTGATCCGATGCGCGTTCCGATCCGGCCCGATTTGACGATTCGATGTTGACCGCTCCTGCCCCTTCGTGCGGAAGCGGTTGTAATCGTCTGCAGTGTGCTGTGTGTTCGGTGGCAGCATTCGAGCAACGCGTCGGCTCGTTAGCGAGACGTGACTTCCCAGAACGAGCACACGCACATAGGAGGTCGATCTGTTCAGGGCTTCGTGTTTCAACTCATCGGCCCAGTTTAAGCACATTGTCGCATGACGTGCCGATGTTGCATCGACGATTACCAGCCTGAAGCTATCAGTGTGTTTTCATATTTTGAATATGGGGTACGCCCAGGAAACCCCAGACGGTGTGTAACAGCGAGGTCAATCATGAGGGAACCTCCTGCTGAACAGCGAAACGTTTAACATCTGATATGTTTCCGAGGTTTTCCGTGGAAGCTGGTTCTGGAAGGTGAAGTAAACCAAGATGTAATGCCGACAGTTGTTGTCATCAAGTTGGTTCTGGAACATGATTTGTTTCCGCCGGTCCAATCGCAAGAGGTGCAGCCTGTAATGCGTCGTATGGTGTACATCTTACAAAAGGTCATTGCCAGGTGGGGGTGCAGGTTGCGTCTGCCCCCAGTTCCCCATGATGAGCCTCGTCGTGAAACGATCATTAAAGAGCTAGAGAAATATCAGAGGGAAGAGTGAGGATCCTTAAACCAGCAATGCGGACATGGAAACCAGATGACAGCAACGTCAAAGGACAGAAGACGGTTCAGCCAGATGCACAACAGCAAAGAGACAAACGATTTCTAGGAGAAGAAACCCGAGCAAAAGCTAAAACAAGTAGACCGGATCCAATTGACCAGAAACCTTTGGGAGAAGACGCCGGGGTCGCAGCCAAAGCGGCTAATAAACCAAATCCAACGGAAACGAAAAAGCGATCGATGTACTTGAAGACGCAATTGAAACAGGTGCATAATCTTCATCCCGCTCTGCGCAGCAACCTGTTAACCTGTTAACCAAGAGCTCAAGTCGTGCCAATGCCCGAACCGGGAAATCCGGCAATCGGCGCATGTTCAAAAACATCTTAGGGAGATTCGCCTAGTTTTGCGTAATGCGATCGCAATTTTGGAGGATTAGCTTCCACAGCGAACGACCAGGAGGTTTTCAAGGACCCGCGTGTATCTGCACTTTCAGGCAGTTTCGGTTTGAATCCAGGTTTTGTTTCAGATTTTAGCGCGCACGGTAAACGCAACAACAAAATAGTCGACTTCAGCAGTGCAGTTGGCTCGAACATGCGACAAAATAAGCCGTTGCTAGTAATGACATCATCGGCCAGCAATTTCCTAAATCAGGCCTTGCATGTTAAACACGTTTCTGCGTGCGTCGACTTGCTCAGGGAGCAGAGCGTTAGCGGACAATATTTCCCCTCTTGCAACCGGAGTCAGCCATTGCGCAGAGGCATCCGGCAGTGCAGTTTCTGTTCCAATGCAAAAGTGCATTAAGGTTTTCGAGTCGGCATGTTGGTCTGTTTTTTTCCGTGACAAACAGCCCTTATTTTGCAGTGTTGCATCGGAGCCGAAAGCATATTTAAACAATTCAAATGTGTTCACATCCGTGATTTCTCAACGTTTGGAGCTAGATGGAGGAATGTACATGTCGCACTCCGTGTCTCCGAGGGTCCGCGCAGCTGTTTTGAGTGGAGCCCGTGAGCAGTTGAAGGCAGACGGGAACGCCTACCCGTTCTTAATTGGCCCTGTTTGTTGCGAAGGGCCAGGTTTTGACTTCGGCGGTTGGTCTTCAGAACAACAAGTTGTTGATTACCAGATCAGAAGAATTTGAGGTCACAGGGAAGCCCGCATTCCAACGAAATGGGTAATAGTAAGCAAAGGTGGCGACACGAATCCAGGCATCATAGCACGATTGGTAGCCGTGGAGGTGAAGGGAGACAAACGCACAGGATAATTTTCAGCCACGCCCCCGCTTGAGGCGATCAAGTTTTTGTTCAGTCAGGCGGCAACCCGCAGGGTCCACAAATCAGGCAAACCTTGTGCAATATTCGTTTCATTGATGCTGCTCGTGCGTAGTATCACACAGATTCCATCCGGGACGTGTATATTGTGTTTGGAGAACAAGATTCCGAACCCCAGATGATAGGCACATAGGCTCGTTGCATGTGTGGGACCAGGGACGCGGCTCAAAATTGGGAACGATTCTGCATTAGAGTGTTGACCATAGCCAGATTCATTCGGGGTCGTTCTAGTTTTTTCCTTTTTTTCGAACCTACAACAAGAGCCGCGCACTTAGTTGTGCACGGTGATGATTTTTTTGTGCGACGACGACGACCTCGAGTGGCTTACAGAGGTGTTGAAAGCATCGATGGCCCTGAAAGTCCAAGCAACGCTTTGACCAGATGACGGCGATGACAAAAGCGCCCACATTCTCATCAGAATTGGGCATTGGACGGGAGACGGTATAGAATGCGAGCGCGACCAGCGGCACATTGAGTTAGTCATCAGCGACAGTGACATCCAAGAACAGCGATCGAAAACGTGCTCCACTCTGGGTGTCAAAGAGGCTTTAGATCCTGAGTTTGACGTCGAACCACGTTCTCCGCAATTGGTCAAAGCATGCAGGTGTTTGTGCATGAGAATAATAAGATACTTAGCACAAGGCAGAAGCGACATCCAGTACGCAACGAACGAGTGCGAGCGGAATGCAGCAGCCGACGTTTGGCCATTGGAACAACATGAAACGACCTGCGCGTCGTTTGATAGGCCGACCGAGGATCATTGCAATATGCCCGTTTCAAGAAACAGGTGTCTTTAGATGTAGTTGTTGACGCATACCATGCAGGATCTATAATTGCACACAAGAAAACGAACGGAGGAGCATTTATGTTTGGCCTTTCACATTATCAAATCCTGGAGCAGCACGCGCAGCGTAGTTGCATTGAGTTCCAGAGGAGCAACGTTGTACGGAATTGAAATGGGTACAAGTGAGTTGTTAGGACCTTTGTCATTCGCATAAGATGCTGGCACTGCTTTTAAAAAAAAAGGGCCTCTGACTGAGCACAGGCAGCTCAGCAGCAAACGTGATCGCATCCAGGCGGGGACTGGGTAAAGCAAAGCACTTTCACACTCAGTATTCGTGGTATCCAGGGAGGCTCGCAGACACTGATTTCGTCGTCCGAAAGGTCGGCACTGACGACAAGCTGGGCGATCCCATGACAAAGTATTTGGGCAGACCGAAAGCCGACCGATTCGTAAAAAGACTCGGCGACCCCGCGCGCGACGGAAAGCGCGAGGTAGCACCACAACGCGCGAGCCAAAATCTTCATTTCATTTTGTCGGAAAAACAGGAATGGTTTGAGCTTTGCTCTGCGGGAGCAGCCAGAAACAAGATCAGAACGATGTTCTTTGACATCAGCGGCAAAGCGCTCAAGAAAGCGTGACCGCAGCATCCGTGAATCCCTGCTCCACCACCCAGGATGGTAAAACCACGTAGAGTAGGCAAGCACCGTGTGCGAGGAGCTGTTCAACCGAGATGCAAGAGGAACGTGGGGAAATATAGTCGTGTTGGGAATCGTAGCAAAACGGCGCGCGATTCCGCAGCCATTACAGACCCCAAGACAAGGCATCCTAATCATAGTATCGCTTCAGTGATTAAGATAATGAAGATGATGGATCTGATGTAGATGATGAGGATGGCGTTGGTGATGTTGATGTTGATGTTGATGCTGTTGGGAATCGTGATGATGATGGCGTTGGTGATGTCGATGACGATGGTGATGATAATGCGGGCGACGCTGAACATGATGACGATGATGATGGTGGTGGTCAAGATGATGATAACCACGATGGCGAGCATGATGGCGTTGATGATGGTGCTGGTGGTGATGACGATGATGTAGCTGATGCAAACTACGATTATGGTGGTCATAGCTATGATGATGGTGGTTATGAGGGTGACGATGACGATGTTGATGATGGTGATGATGATGCTGATGTTGATGATGGTGTGTTAATGTTTGGGAAGAGTTTGTGTTCTAAGCCATTTGTACGCCCCGAGGGCAGGTGGGGTTGCAGGCCCCACGAGGCCAACACCTAGGCGGGCAGGGCCAGGCCAACGGCATCGGCTGTCGAGGCATATTCACAGGCGGGAGCTTGCAAGCGCAGCCAAACATATGCTACGCACATGTGCAGTCCACGGCCGCACTGAGATGCTGGCCGCGCGATGCTAGCAAATCGGTGTCGATGGCGGGCCCCAAAATATGGTCATGGGGTTGTAGTATTTTCCGTGCGTCGCGCATGAGGCCCATCGCACACCGTCTGGCCAGAAAACGTCGAAACAAAAAAAAACGAAGAATCGCCGCCGAGTTTGGACCGGACGCTAGTGTTTTCGGCAATATGTTGCCCCCAGTCTACCCTACGACCTGGCCCGGCTCGTAGCAGCACCTCCCCCACGGAAACGTTGTCGTTCCATTTTTATTGGACAAATATTTTGGATATTTGGTCAAAATATGCGTGGCTCTCCTGATTGCGCTGCCGCCATGCAGCGGGGACGAGCATCAAGAAGCCATGTGGTCTTGTCAGGGTACTTGGGTTTCCTCGCCGCGCGGTGACTTCCCGCCGGCACAGAAGCTGCTGGGTCCGGGTTGTCTTGAGCAGCCCCCCAATTGCGCCTCGCGCGCGGGCTGGTTTCCAGGGTTGAGTGCTTTGCGAGTGTTTCTTGCAGCCGCGTCTGCACTGCATGCGTCCTAGATCTCCTGGTCGACCTTCCTTCATCATTCAATTCCTTCCTCAGTGTCTCACTTCCTTTCCACCTCGCCTCTCATTATTGCTTGCCCTCTCCCTGAATATATTGTCTCCATCCTCGTCATCGTCTCTCTTTCTGTTCCTTCTCCAGCTATTTCTCATCCACCGATGTCACCCCTCCGCATCAGGATATGGCAGAGGACGTGGAGATGGCCAAGATGGGGCTATTTCCTGTGATTATTGGCGGCCATGATCATGAATTGTTCCCCAACCAGCCGCTGAAAGGTACTGCTAAACTTTGATTGCTCCATCGTGATTCTCATCAGTATCATCCCTCATCTCCCCGCCCCCCTCCATCTCAACTCAGTCATCCCACGCTCGTCCATTCCCTCTCATTTCGTGGTCCCTCCGCCCTCCTCTCCTCCCCGGTGGCTCCCCCATCCATCTCTTCCACCCTTGACCGTGACATGCCTTGCACGGTTCCAGACCTTGATCCCGCCGAGGAGAGAGAGGTTTGCATCGTCGCCCTCGTCATCCCCTCTTTCCTTCTCGCGCGGGGCAGGATCGAGCAGAGGGAAGGGCATGGGGGAGGTTCGGATGCAACTCCTGGGAAGTTAAATTCAGCATCGGCGTTGGTAGTTCCGTGGTCGAAAACCGGCCTAATTTGGCAGACACCCATGTGATTTTGCGGAATCGAGCTTAGTCTTGGACATAAGTTGGTTTAATATTTAATACGATTGACAGGCTCCTTCATCGGGCTGATTAGCCCTAATTTGTTCTTACGCAAATTTTCGGGCGGGGCTACGACAGAGATACATCGTTCCAGAGCGTATTGGAACGCTCTCAGAGCGTTCCGTGGCGCTCTTAAACAGCCGCCGCGCCGGGACCTCAGAGATCTCCCATTTGTCCGTATCTGATGTTGTCCATGTCCTGGCCTCGTCTTAGACCTCCCAGAAGTTGCCTCCCAAGGGCTGGCAGGGGGATGATGCCGTGGACGCGCGGAGAGTCGTGGGCGAAAACGTATCAGTGTCCGCGGCAGCGCGGGCCGGGATCCTCGGCGCGGCCTCGCGGATTCGGGGCTTTGTGTTCGCGCATGCCCCATGCGGAATGCATTCGTGCGTCCGCACATCCGCGGGATTTCGCTGCAGCATCGAGATCTCGAGGGCACGGACACGGATATGACCTCCCATAATCAGCGAGCGAAGAACGGTATAACATGTTTTGTTTCGCCGTCGGGGACACCTGCCCCTGGGCGGCGGGGTATAAATTTTCCAGCCGCCCAGGGGCAGGTGTCTCACCACCTACCAAACCACCCCAACCCAACCCGAAGGCTTCAATTTGCCCTCCATTTCCAGTGGGGGGGGGGTCGGGGAACGTTGAGAAAACACATGGTGCCCGTACCCCCCCCCAACCCGAAATTCGATTCAAATTCGGGTCTTCGGGTTGGGTTGGGGTGGTCTGGTAGGTAGTCAGTGTCCCCGACGGCGAAAAAGTTTATTTTATACCGTTCTTCGCCCGTCAACATAAGTTGCCTCCCGAGGGCAGGCAGGGGCCCCTCCCATCGCGCGCGGTCGCGCTCGCGTCCCCGCGCCCCCGAGTGGTCGGCCTCCGCGCACCTGCGGTGCCAAAGATTCGGAGGGGGGAGATGCAAGGGCTCCCACGAGGGCGCGAAGTTATTCGCGCTTCGCGGTCCTCGTTCCTTCTCCCCCTCCTCCTCGTCCTCCTTTTCTCCCTTTGGAGGAGCGGCGCGAGAGCGCGAAGTTATTCGCGCTTCGCGCTTCGCGGAGCGCGAAGCGCGAAGTTGGGAGCCCTAGGAGATGCGCGACACCAGCACCACCAGGGGGCCCACCTCCAGCGAGGAGGCCCACGATGCCTCCACGAGCTGGAGGCTGGGGATGTCTCGAGCGAGAGGGGGGGGGGGCCACACCACCAGGGAGACCCCCCCTTGCTTCTCGCACCTCCTCGCCCTGCTGGCGTCGGTGCCGCCTCTCTTCTTGCTCCCGAAGATGGAGGAGCCAGAGCCTCTCGATGTCGGCTACTGGAAGCCCTGGTGAACGCCGCTTGGCTTGGAGTCCGCCGATGACCGGGAGGAGGAGGAGGAGGAGGAGGAGGAGGAGGAGGAGGAGGAGGAGGAGGAGGAGGAGGAGGAGGAGGAGGAGAGGAGGGGAGGGGGAGGGGGAGGGGGAGGGGAGGGGGAGGGGGAGGAGGAGGAGGGAGGAGGAGGAGGAGGAGGAGGAGGAGGAGGAGGAGGAGGAGGAGGAGGAGGAGGAGGAGGAGGAGGAGGAGGAGGAGGAGGAGGGAGGGGGAGGGGGAGGGGGGAGGAGGAGGAGGAGGAGGAGGAGGAGGGGGAGGAGGAGGAGGAGGAGGAGGAGGAGGAGGAGGGGGAGGAGGAGGAGGATGACGGGCCCGACCCCCCCCCCCCTCTCTCCACCCCACACAGCCTGACCCTGGTCGGCTGCGCAGGTCCGACGGGGGTGCGCAGCACTGGCGCGCGCAGGCACACGCGTGGGCTGCCCACGGCGAAGGAAGGTTGGACGATCGGCCGGCACCTCCCCCCCCTTCCCCAAGGACTCCCACGAGGGCGCGAAGTTATTCGCGCTTCGCGGTCCTCGTTCCTTCTCCCCCTCCTCTTTCATCCTCCTTTTCTGCCTAAGGGGGAGCGGCGCGAGAGCGCGAAGTTATTCGCGCTTCGGCACAGCGAAAAGGTTAGATTATCGGCCGGCACCTCCCCCCACTTCCCTCCCGCCATCGGATGGTCCGCGTGCTCGCCGAAGAGTACAGTCGGGGCCCTGAAGAAGGAACCCTTTGCGTTGGGGAGGGGCTCCGTGTTCCTTAGTTGTTTCGCAGCTTGCCTTGGATTTTCCTTAGGTTTCCGATGCGAAAACGAAGTTCAATTTATGTAAAAAAGGGGCCTCGTTCCTTATTTAGGGTTCCTTAGGTCAACGCCTCGACTGTACGCAGTATTGGCGCGCGCAGGCACACGTGGGCTGCCCACAGCGAAAGAAGGTTAGATGATCGGCCGGCACCTCCCCCCACTTCCCCCCCGCCATCGGATGGTCCGTGTGCTCGCCGAAGAGTGTATATCAGAGCGTGAATTACCTACCCCGCTTTCGCTTCCAGGCAAAACCAAGCCATACTACGCGCCTCCTCGTCAAGCGGCCTGACCGGTACAGGCTGCAATTTGGCATCGTCTGGTATCTCTTGGAAGCGAGGGTGGTCAAAAGCGAGGTAGGTTTGTTTTCCACCCAATATAGCTATCCCTTGTCAGGGGAGCACGAGGCAATGACAATGGTGCGTTCCAAGGTTGCCATGGTGTCCAGGATTTCCGAGATTCCACTCCACCAGGGGTACCCACGAGGCAATGACAAAAGGGGGCCACATGCGAACCCTACCCCTACCCCCCACGATTTTTGAGGGGGGTAGGGGTAGGGTTCGCACGTGGCCCCCTTATGACAATGGTGCGTTCCGAGGTTGCCACGGTGTCCAGGATTTCCGAGATTCCCTGACGCTCCGCGCGGGCTCCAGAGGCGAGGGCCGTCACGTTTCGGTCGGGCGGGTCCCTCTGCAGGAGGGATGTTCAACAGCAGTTTTGAAAGATAGTGTGGGAACGATGTTTGAATATCTCAGAGCGTGAATTACCTACCCCGCTTTCGTCGTCGTTCGTCGTCCGTTGTCCGTCTTCGCCCAAGGACTGCAGGACTGCAGGATGCCCGCGCAGCCCCCCTCCTCCACTCTCCATGCCGTCCCCAGAGGGCCGACGTCGTCGTTGTCGTCCGTCGCCGTCCGTCGCAGCCCCCTGGGACTGCCAGGGTGTTGTCGAGCAGTCCGAATAGCCACCCCCGCCGTTCCGTATTGTCAGCCCTCGAGCCTCCCTTGGCCTCCCAGACGGCTTGGGGCCAATCCGAATGGCCGAGCTCTTTTGCCTGCTATTCGCTATTATGAGGGCCACGGAGCCAGCGGAACTATTTTTGAGTCGTCCCCCCACATTGTTTTCTTCATCGCTCACTTCCTTTCGGGGGGAGACGGCGCTCCAAGCGACGACAGATAGCTTATTGTTGTTCTTCCTCGGCTGCGGCGGATACGGAGTTGCGGCAGTTCGGTTGTCGACGTCTTCGCTTGATGGCCCCGGCGATCTTGGGCCGTTCAGAAATAGATCATTATTGGCCCCAGCGGGTTGCATATTGCTTGGACTCACATCAGTGATGGGGCCCGCTTCCATGCGCGATCGACGCCCTCCGCCGCCGAACCAGGCGGCACTGGCTGCAGGTTTTGAGGCGTACTTCCCCCGACTCGTTGATCTGGCGCCCGCGCGCCAGATCCACGGATCCGCGATCCATGCTTAGCGCGGCAAGAGAAGGTTGCGCTAGCGGAAAAGGCCTGAAGGGGGATGCCGCTAGGGCGAACTGTGCCGCCATGCAAGAGGAGGACAAGGAAGAGGGCGCGGCCGAAAGAGGGGGCGCGCCCGAGGTTGGGCCGTTCTTCCCCCGACTCGTCAATCTGGTGCCCACGCGCCAGATCCACGGATCCGCGATCCATGCTTAGCGCGCGCCCGAGGTCGGGCCGCGGATCGGCGCGGCCCCGAGGTCGAGCCCCGAGTGGGCCGCGCCACAGCACCCCGTCATCTGCTGCACCGCACGCTGCCCCCCTCCCGAGGCCCGTCGGCAACCTACCAGGCGGAAGCATTTCCTTATCCCTATTGCGGGCAATAGTTATATCCACATCCAGTGCGTCTTAGAGTCTTGGGCTCTCTTCCCCAGAAGCCGAAGACGCACTGGATATGGATAAAGATCTGGCCCCAAGAGGCTTGATTTTATCCATATCCAGTGCGCCTCGGCGTTGCGGCACCTCCTCCTAAAAAGTCCAAGACGCTCTGGATATGGATAGAAGCATTGCCCGTACCTATGACTGGTATCGCCTTGTGCTGATGCCGATCTCGGGGGGGCCTTCGCTTCCTGAGGGCGCATCCCCAAGACTGTCCTCGCCGCGACCCCCTCGCCACGATCTCCTCGGACTGCTCGACCAAGGTGTCGACCGCCTTCAACTGGGACCCCCTGGAGCCTCCTGAGCCACTATGGGTCAAAAAAAAAAAAAAGACTGTCCTCGCCGCGAGGCCTGCCGCGCTTCGGGGCAGGGATCAGCTCGAGGCCGGTGAGTAAAGGCCACCATCGGGCCACAGCATGGCCGGGGCGCGGGCGCTCCCGGGCGGGGCCGCCTGACGGCGGCCCGCCGCCGTGAGCCTGGGTGCTGACCCAGGCGGTGCCGAGGCCGACGCCCCGGAAAAGCAGGCGCCGCGCCGCCCCCATCTTGGGCGTTGCGTAATGGGGGGGTCACAAATGGGGGGGGTCAAAAACGGTCCCCTTTCGTGCCCCTTTCGGGCCCCTCCAGAGCCCCAGGGGGCTCGTTTAGGTACCGTTTGGGTACCTTTTCGGGCCACACTCGCCGCCCCCCCATTTATGACCCCCCCATTACGCAACGCCCAACGCCCCCATCGCAGCCGGGCTCATCGGCCAAAGGTGGCGGGCCCGAAGCCTGCGACCTCGAGAATCGCGGGCGCCAGGGCCCGCAGGCCAACGGGCCTGCGGTGGCAACACGGCGCGGCCGACGTAACATCAGCTCCCACGTCACCGCCAGCACCACCACCGGCGCCAGCGTAAACCATCACCACCTCGAGGGCCTTCACGGCGCCACCATCGCAATCATCATCACGTCGCCAAGTGCAGGCGCAGAATCGGGGCGACAAGCATGAATCAATGTTCGAAGACACAGGACACAGACACGGAGGATACCACCTGGATGAAATTCATACTAACGCGCTCTAATACAAAAGTTACCCCCATGTCGCGCAGATCTTGTTGACGCCACGTAGATGTTTTGACGTTCAAACTACATCACCAGGATGTCACCGATCGATGAAACGCAGAAGACGTCACGCCACGGTTAGAGCCATCATGGTTACGAATAGTTGAGCCATCATGGTTGTGAACACCCATGATGACGCACGGCGATGACGCACGGCGAGATCGATTGATAATGGATTCGATGGATAGTTTGGTAGTGGAATCGATGAATCTATCCTGAAACAGATTGGTACTAAGACCGAAAATTGCCATCGGGATCATTAGATCGATCGCGAATCCGAGTTGGCGCCAATCGCAAAACGAAAGTTTTCACCCGCAAACTTCCTGATCACCCGACGGGTGATCCTACAGCTGTGCGTGCATTTGACTTACAATTCCCGTGGGACAGCCACGAGACAACCCATGAGAGACAACCCACAGGGCAATTCACGGGACAACCACCAGAAAACCCACAGTACAGCCACAGGACGACCCACGGGCCAATGGGACAACCCCGCGGGCATCTTCAGGCCGTTCTTGGGCAAATTGGCCGTGTCTGGCGCCAGATTGAGGATGGGTCGTTGCGAATTCCCTTGGTGGGACCCCGGGGGATCGGGAGCGTATTGGGAGCCGATCTTGGGAGACTTAATTTGTACTTGATGCTCTTGCGACCGAGACCGACAAATTGTTTCAGGAGTCACGAACCGAATGTTGGCGTACCTCTTCGGCTGGCCGTGAGGGCACCCACATCGGCCTAAGATACCTCCGAGTGGGCGCCAGCACGGGTACTTGGCAACATCATTTGAAATGTTGTAAGTTTGGATTCCGATCTATGTTCCCCAACGGACTCAGATGACATTTGATGCCGATGTTGTTACACGTTCGCGCTCGGTTCTTCGACTTCACGCGCTTACCGCTCATGCCAAATGAGATGAGTGATTGACACTCAGCGTGATCGCTGTCTCGTGCCCTGGTAGCGTCACGTCATCCATCCTTCTGGCCGTGCGTGTTTGATCTGTATGTGTGTGTGTGTTTGTGTCTGTGTCTGTGTCTGTGTTTGTGTGCGTGATTTTACGCCCTAGCGCTGCGCGCGGGGCCGCGACGCCCAACAGTGTGTGTGTGTGTGTCGGTGTGTCTGTGTGTCTCTGTCTCTGTGCCTCTGTGTCGACATGTGCATGCGGCGCGCAGGGGCAGGGACGGGAGGAGGGAAGAAGGAGGAGGGGAAGAGAGTTGAAGCGAGTGACGCAACACCACAGGATGACAGGGCGACTGGGAGGAAGCCACGTACCCGAGGGGAGTCCGGGCAGCGGGGCGAGGCTGCGTCGATCGAGCAGCGAGAAGAGGAGGTGCGAGCGGGCGGGCAGCAGCCGTAGGATGGAGGGAGGCCGCAGCGCGGGCAGTGGCTGGGGGGCGGTGCTGAGCGAACCTGCGGCGGAGGATCAACGAGGTCCATGGCCCCTGGGGCACCCCCGTCGTCAAGGCCCGCGGAAGTTTTCATGCACGGGGAAAGAGGAGGGTGAGGAGGAGGAGTGAGGAGGAGGAGGAGGAGGAGGAGGAGGAGGGGGACCAGTGTAAGCCGACGGCGCATCAATGTCGCTGCAAGAAGCCCTCCCTTCAAGCTCCCTCTGCATAGATCCCTGCACGAATGTGTCCATCGCGGGGGGTGCCCCATTGAACGACAGGTGTCTGATAACCAACTGTGCCAGAGCATCGCCCCTGGGATGTCAACGCCGCGAATGCACGTACTTGCTGCGCCATGGCAACCATACACCATGCCAGTATACCATTCCTGGAACTTGGATGGGCACCGCGAACACACGTGACTGTTTCGTCGTGTCAGAACCACAAGGAGGGGGATCGAGGAGGAAGCGGGGATCGAGGGGATCGGGAAGGAACGTATCATATAACGTTTCGCGCATCCCCACCAGCCCAGCAGCCGTTAAGCGGAAGTTGGCGAGCAAGCCGAGCAGCGAGCAAGCCGAGCAAACCAAATGATCAAGTTTCGGTGATACAGTTTTATCAGATAAGGGAATCGAGTGGCGGTTGCGACGCTTCGCTTCGAAGGGGAAGGAGGAGGGGAGGGAAACGATGGGAAAGGAGGAGGCGGCGGCGGAAAAAGGAGGGCAGATGGGGTTGAGGGGGGATGACGAGGAGGAGGAGGAGGAAGAAGAAGAGGAGGAGGAGGAGGAGGAGGTTATGGCCAGTGTAAAACCAAGATTCATCAACTATGTTGCAATCGACCCTCCCTCCAAGCACATTCAGGCCCGTGCAGGATGCATGTTCACTGACAGAAGCGCAAAAGACCTTGCAGTGGGCTGTCAACGCCGCGAATCACCGTTAATGTTGCGTCCTGACGGTCCTGAATCGTGCCAGATCACTATTTATGATACCTCAACACCACGAATCATTATAATTGTTGCGCCCCGACAGCCCGACACCGTGCCAAAACACAATGTTTGGTACGTTAGCCATGAGAATCCTTCCAACTGCTGTAGGCTCTCGAACGAATACGCGCGGCGCTAAGGCGAGAAACACATGTTGAAAAGAAACCGCCCTCCATCCCCAATGGCGTCGCATGTCTTATGACGAGTGAACGCGGCGCTAAGGCGAGAGCCCCATTTTGAAAACCACCCGCCCCCCATTGCTGATTGTTTAAGACACATGTGCGCGGCGCTCAGGCGGGAGCCACACTTTAAAAATGACTAGTACTCAATCCGTGAAGCTCATGTAACTGTGGAAAACGAATGAGTGGGGCGCTACGGCGAGAGTTGAATTTTGAAAAGGAGCCGCCCTCCATCGGTGAAGCTCTAGCGAAAGTGTAAGACGGATGTGCGTCGCGCTCAAGCCAGGGCCGCATTTTGAAAAAATGCTAGCCTTCCATTCATAAATCCCCTTGCCAATTTCTAAGCTTCAGGATCATAAATGGTGAGGAAGCATCAAGCGAAACGCCGGGCCCACCCTTCTGACTGGCCTCGCGGTGTGACAGGGAGGAGCTATTCATAATAAAGGAGGACGGGTTGAGAACATTGGACGGACCTTTCGTTCTGAAAAGCCATGTGCCCGATGGAGGTGAAGGATCGAGGATCGAGGACGAGGAGGTACGGAAATTGTTTTATGGCAGGACGGGCGTTGATATAATTGCGAACCACTAGCTGAGGAGGCTTCAGAGCCAGGGCATGTGCCGACCACATGTTCGAGCACATGGGGCCTCATCTTGCAGCTTCATGGCGGGATGTTCAGATCGAGACGGCGCCGTCTGATGCGAAAGCCGTGCCGGGAAGGGAGCACATGAAGGTAATGCGTCTTCGATTCTGGAAAGCGCATCCCGAGGCTTGGGTGCAGTGCCGACCCATCTCCCAAAATGGCCTGCGACCAGCGCGCGGATGGCGACGGGGAAGAACGTTGACAGGTTGTTTTACGTAGTGTGCTGACTTGTGGTCCAGTCAGGGATGCATCGCGGCCGTTGCCTTCGCGGCTACGCCTGCTTTCCGCGTAGAGCCTAAGCCGAAGGGCAGCACCCTATGGTTGCGGGCACCGCGGGCGCCTCGCTTAGGAGTGCCCCGCAGGGTGCCGCCGTGGTGGACGACAGGGCTCGAAGCAGCTAGCTCAGTCACACGCCAGCATATCATGCGTAGGCGAAGTCTGGGAGGTTTCATCTGGCGAGGCACTCCGCTCGGGAGGTGCAAAACAGGCAGGTGCAAACGTAGCCAGACAGAGAAAGAGGAAGAGAGAGAGAGAGAGAGCGAGAGAGACGGACACAGCAGTGTGGGAATCGCACTAGCATGTTCGTATGTGTATAGATATACATAGACACCTGTACATACCGGATCAGACATATGGTGTGTGTGTGTCTGCGTGTATGTCCATATTTTGTATATGCAAGGGCAGATGCACATACGATATGGAGGCAACGAGACAGCGAAAGACGGACAGGGACAGGGTCATTGCCAGCCAGGGACGTTGATTGCAGCATGCAAACAGCGGCAGACAAACACTACGGCGTATGTATTCATATGTGGGCGCATACATTGTTGAATGCTTGTTGGACTACTTGTGTGTGGGATGGTGAATGACTATGCGCCGCGTGATGCATCCAGATATTGACAGCGCGCACGGTCTATGAATGCGTCGATGTGTTGTGAAGCGTATGTGCAGGAGTTTCACCGTCTTTCGTTTTTGTTTTCGTGCGCGGTTGCCACATTCCCTGCCGTGCGATCTTCCATTTATTGCAATCGGCGCCGTGCCACCAGGCTGGCTCCGACAGCACGAGTGCCGCCGTGGTAGACCTCGATTGGCCAGAGGAGCTCTTTGATAGTCTTGCAAGCCGCCGGCTACGCCCTAGTTCTGGCATTCACACCTCCCGCCCCCCCCCCCTCATGTATCATCACCCGAAGCGTTTCATCGGACAGAAAGAGCGATCGGAAACATGCATTCCAGCCAGGGCGGCTAGCCAGCCGGCCGCAAGCCGGAGAGGCGTTGCGAGTGCTCAACAGCGGTGCGCAAAGGGTGCAGCTATTTCTGTTCAGACTGTAGGTTGACCTTCGTTTTTGCGATGTGTCGATCTTGATTGTTTTTGTGCGCGCTCACTCAAATCACAAGCGATCGTGTATAACATAACCTGTAGCTACCCAACCACGGTCTCTCTCTGCATCGGAGGCGCCGTGACGTGTCACCTTGCAAACAAAGCGCTGCAGTGGCCGTTTTATTGTCTGGGGGGGAATTGTAGAAGTAGTCGAACTGGTAGGGACGGGGGCCAATGCTAACGCGGGTATGCCAGAGCGGCGGCTCTCGCAGGATCTTGCAAAACCAGGGTTGCAGTGACCCAGGCTAGCGCGCAGGACCCTGCAGGATCCATGACGGCGGCGAGGGGGACGATGCTCCAGAAAATCAGCGCGACGACACCGACGAGGTCTGTCTCTGCGGATGGTGTGGACGAGCCATGCGTAGACTGGATCGGCGCCGTGCAAGCCAGAAGGCTGTGGGAGAACTCAAAAAGGCGGGTTCGAAGACGTGAGTCAAATCTCAGAAGTTTCGTAAAGCTGCCCTGCTGCGGAAGACAGTCGGCAGCACCGGTGGCAGGTGGTGGAGGGCAGCGCTGGATTTTGGACGCCGGCCAGGCGCCGGGCGCAGGGCCGCCCGCCGAAACGCTGGACAGACGAAATCATCACTTACAGTTCAGAAGTTGGGATGTTGCGAGGATCGGTGAGTCTGCTTGCCGGCAGCCCGTGAAGGGCGCGCTCCGGCGCAAGCAGGCCTCCTGCTCCCGCTCTTGCAGAGCCCGTCTGGCCCGGTGTGTGCATTGGCCCGTGTCAGCAGGTCCCCGAAATGGAGTCGAGATTGATGGCAAGGACGCGCAACCTTCCCAAGGGCACCTTTGCATCCTTGTCTCTTCGGTCCATCCTTCACCCCTTTCGATGGCCCTCGAGAAGCTTGGACGTTGCCGTCCAAGGCTCTTGCATCTTAACCGCGCATCCTTACTACCAGTTTCGATTGTACGTCATCAGAGAAACTATGGATTCAGGTTGTGTCGGGGTTTAGGTTTTCTGCTATGCCTGGCGGCCCATAGGGGCCAGACGGATCGCGAGGAGGCGGAGGAGAAGGAGGAGGAGGAGGAGGAGGAGGAGCAGGAGGAGGAGGAGGATGAGGGGCCATCTGTGGTTGTGGCTCCTCGCGTTTCTCCGGCCTGCCTCTCTCCCATTCCCCCTCCTCCCTCTCTCCCTAAACCCCCCTCCCTCCTCCTCCCCCCGCCCCTCCCCCCGAAATGGGACGAATTACAACCGACTAGTCCCAATTCCAACCGTTCGGAGCGAATTGCAACCATAAATGGGACCAATTACAACCATGGGATCATCAGAAGTACTTCTTTCTTCTTCAGAAGTATCTTTTTCTTCAGAAGTATTTCTTCTTCAGAAGTACTTCGATTCCTTAGGATTCCTTATGATTTCTTAGGATTCCTTATGAATTCTTAGGATTCCTTAGGATCCTTGGGATTCCTTAGGGTCCTTGGGATAACAGAGGCAGTTGGCTACCTGACGGAGCGGGCGCACTGCAGGGGCTCAACTCGGGCACAGAAACGGAAGCGACAGGAGCAGGGGCTGCAACAGAAGCGACAGTCGGCAAAGAAAAGGCATGCCGAACATGTGTCTCATCAGCCCATGGGTCCTGTTCGTCGGACTCCACCTGGGCGCCCTGTGGTTCCTCTTCGGACGACTCGCCGGCGTCTGTGGAGACGTGGTCAGCGTTGCCGTTGTCCCGCGGGCCCCCGAACAACGCCGTGTAGGATGGCTTTGTCTGTCCGTTCGGCCCTCGCACGGCTGGACTTGGATCCTGGCGCAGGCGCACGGGTCGGCCGAGGGACTCTTGGCAGCCGGCGCGGGGGGGCTCATGATCCTGGCGAGGAGCTGCTCTCCCGCTGCCACGAAACGCATGCGTAGCGCGAGGTGCGGTCGCCAGGGAACGCCAGGTGCCGCTGTGACCTCGGCGACGTAGGGCTGCGCTGCTGTGCCGATGACGGTAGTCCAGGCGGGAGGCCTGCTTGCCGCCTCCTGGGCCACAGATGCATTCAACGTCTGCGCATCGAATTTGGCCGCCACATTCGCCGGGGGAGCCTGGGGCCTGGAGGGTCGCTGGATTGACGCCCCAGTCGCCGACCGCGACCCGCGGGAGTTGCAGCGCCCGCAGCAGACCGCCCAGCCGCCGCAGGCGCGTCAGGTTGGCACCTGTCAGCCCTGCGCTGGAGATGCCGTAGTATGCAATGATCACGAGGGAGTACCCGCTGAAGTGCAGCACGGTGGGAACGAAGCCATCCAGGCACTTGTGTGGCAGCGCTCGGCACGTTGATGCTTGGATTCCTTCATGCAGAACGTGGGCCTCTAGGTGGCCCCTCGCCTGCCTCCACTCGCCTCCTTCGTTGGCGTGGCCTGCGGCCTCTGATTCGAGGGGATCGGGCCTCCCATCATGCTGCCGAGCGCGAGAGGAGGGCCGAGCGGGGTTGCGGAGCATTCGGAGGCTGTCGCGTCGAGACCGCCCAGTCCAGCTGCCCTGGTCAGCTGCGCCAAAGCGGGCCTCGGCGATGCCGAAATAATCGCCAGATGTGCTCGGCAAAAGATAACCCCAAGCTTTGTCACCCATGCGCATAACGTTACTACACCTTATGCGATGCTTAAGAAAACTTGAGTTTTCGGCCAGAGTCTCGATCATTCTTAACGTTTCAATGTAAATCTTAAGATGTTCATAGAAATGTTGGGTTTTCTTCAAGTTCTGAGACTATGAATTTCTTAACCCATGATTTCTTGAGCATTTCGCAGGGTGTATAGAAGAATGTGTTCGCACGCGCACTGGGGCCGCTCTCGGCGACCTGGTCTTGCGGCGAGGTGCCCAGTCACGAGGAGGCTCTACCCTGGCCAGCGGTGCCGCCCTTGGCTTGCGGGCGACTCTGCGTCGGCGGGCTGGCCGCCCCCTCGCCGCCGCCGCCTCGGCGGCGGCGTGGGCGGCGAAACTGGCCGCGGACAGGCGAGCGGCCTCGTCCTTAAGGGCTGCCTCCTCCATCTCGGCGTCGGTTGTCTCCTCGGCGCCGGGAGCGGGCTCGGCTTGACAAACCCAGCTCGAGTATCAGACCGAGTTCAGACCTCTGAGTGCCACAGGCAGACGCGTCTGATGTCTCCGAATCGAATCCTGTATTTACCAGCTCTGCAGCCCCCCAACAGCCGGAGTTTGCCGTCGGCGCAGCAGTGCCCTCGTCAGGTGGCACTTGCTGGGCGGCGGCTGTCGCGCCGTCGGTGCCCGTGCGCTCCTCGAGAAGGCGCTGCTTCTTGCCAGCTGGCGCACCGCCTTGGCGCGGCTGATCAGCGGCTGGACCTGGGGCTCCTTCGCGTCGAACTCTGCCTGGACTTATTCGGGCCCTGTCCTTGCGGAGGGGAGCTCTACGCGCTCGTGCTCCTCGATGTCGAGGTCCGCAATGTCCTCGAAGAGTTGGGCGCCCCGAGTCATCGAGAAGGCGGGGCCTCCTGGGCCAGCCCGGCTGTCCTTCTGCTCCGCGGGGCCATCGGGGCCGACGCGGCGTGGGCGAGCGCGGCGGTGGCCTTCTTTTTGATCGCCTCCGCGCGGGCGACCTCGCGCTCCGTGGACTCGGCGGAGGCGAGGCTCTCCCTCAGATTCACCACATTGGCGACCAGCTGCATGTGGCGGTGGACAGCAGCTCGGTAGTTGCCATCCGCGCGCTTCATGGCCTCAGCGGGGGTGGGCGGTGGCCCTGCCTCCTCCTCCGCCGTGGCTGCGATTCTGGTGATATGCGCCTGCAGGATGGCCTTCAGCTGCGGGTCCGTCGTCTTCGCCCAAGCGCGTTGGAGGTGGTCCACGGCCGTGGACGGCTGGCGGGGTGCGTTGCGGCGCCTGCTGCCCGTTGCACCCGACGGGTCCTCCAGGTGAACGATATCCGCGGCGCCGAAGGTCACGGCGCGCCCTCCTGGAGACTGGGAGCGTGCACGATGCGGGCGAACGCGACGAGCACACTTGGGGCAGGTCGGGTGCGCGTCGTCCAGTCGGTCATTGTACTCACATGTGCCCCAGCCGCGGCATCTGGTCAAGGGTCTCTGTGTCATCCACCCCTCCTTTAGCTACCGCCAAGGTCTGCGATCGCGCGGATGCGCAGCTGCGGCGATACCCCTCATGTACCGCGTGGGGGCGTGGGAGAGCCTGGCGCTATGCCAGAATGGCTCGGGCCAAGATGTTACTTAAGGAGGAGGAGGAGGAGGAGGAGGAGGAGGAGGAGGAGGAGGAGGAGAAAGGGGAGGGGGACAAGCTAGGTGCGCTCGCGTCATATCTGACATCCTACCCCTCCCTCCCATCCCTTACCATGGCGCATATCCCCTCTCTACTCGCTCAGTCGGATGTCGAGCAGAGCAATGATCCCGAAAGGGTAATTACGCGATGCATTGTAGAGCACGGCATGGCATGGCGTAGAAGAGCACCGCAAAGCTTATTATCAACCTAGCATTGCATTGTATGCCGTGGCATGGCACGGGAAATGACGCCAGCGCTGCAGCGGGAGCACGAGTCGAAACGAGCGGAAGCGCGGAAATGTGACCAGCGTTGCAGCGGGAGCACGAGTCGAAACGAGCGGAAGCGCGGAAATGTGACCAGCGTTGCAGCGGGAGCACGATTCGGAACGAGCGGAAGCACGGAAATGAGGCCACCGCTGCAGCGGGAGCACGATTCGGAACGAACGGGGCCCGACAATGAGGCCGGCGCCTCAGCGAGAGCAGCATTTTGGAAACAAATGCACGCGAAAACCCAATTCCGGGGACACCTGTGTGTAAAAAACAGTACGCGGGGGGGGGGTCGGCCACTTCCAAACCGTCATCAAGGGAAGAGGGCGAATAGTATTCATATTGAGTAATTGTGGAGGAAGAGGAGGAGGAAAAGGACAAGGAAAAGGAAAAGGAGGAGGGGGAGAGGGGGTCTACGAGTGGGAGGAGGGGG